TGCCCTCTCTCTCTCTCTCTCTCTATATATATATATATATATATATATATATATATCAGTTGCCTGACGATCGCAATAGCGTGAAACTCCGAGTAGCAACATTCTGTTCCAGCGACCTCCAGTTCTATATATATATATATATATACTATACTATACTATACTAGTCTAAAAATACTTGCTAAAAATAATTCATACTAGGGTGTATCATATTGAATTATAATAAATCACAACAAATATAGAAGAGCATTTCAAATAGCTGTTTCTCCGTAACATATCATTTGATTCGATTATTGGCCTACTTATTACGTACTGCCTTAACCATGTAAAACTTGGCCAAAGGCTAAGATGACAGAGGACGAGTCGTTAGTTACCGACCACGTGCAGAACAATATTTTTGTCAACAGTATGATTAATACAATTTATTATTTAATTATTAATTATTACACACTCCGAAAAAAAATTAGATATCGCAACATGTGGCATTATATAATTGGAAAACCTCAAACATTAAATATCGGGGTAATTTTTCTCATTCAACTATTTAACTAACTTTATAATTACGGACTTAAACACAATTAAGGTGCATTCTCATCGCATCCAATCCGAAAGTCGGACCGTGTTTCTAATGCGCTGAACAAGCGTCCTTATTCATACACGCTGATCTGATTTTCTAATCGGTTCTGTAGGCTTTCCGACCCGAAAATTCGGATTTGGTGGGAAAGCACCTTAACGAATTTAAATATGGAACTGAATTTTTCAATATTCAACTCATGACAGACAGTGCATCGTTAACGCTCTATAATAATAAACAATGATAGACAACATATTGATTTTTAGTTTGTGTTCGTGAGGTCCATTTGAGTACTTGAACAATAATAAAAAAAATTTTTTGTAGCTTTGCAAAAGTTCACAGGGACTTTTACACTTCCTGGGGCAGAGTTCAATACTGCCCTCAGCCATGAATCGTCTGACGAATACCAACAGCTTTATATGGAGATTACAGAGTCGGTAAGAGCTATACGTACAATTTTCTACTCACTTTTAAAACACTGCGACTCTAACAACCCACTTACCTACTCGACCTCCTTCCTAAAATGTCTCCTTATCCTCCTTCCGTTTTTTTACCTTATATTAATATGTTCATTGTTCCAAGAGTTAACACCAAATTCTACTGCCACATATCTTTTTATTTTCAGCTGTCACATTTTGGAACTCCCTTCCTAATTGTCGAGTCACCTTCAGTTGCTATTTTTAAGAAGACCAAACTTAAAACTCACATCTAAACATGCACAGTGCGTTTGATTTTTACTTCGGTTTAGTGCTATTGGCCCTTTATATAAATTATTATTAGGCCTATTATTATTATTATTATTATTATTATTATTATTATTATTACCGCTTTTAAATAAAATAAGTTGAATATGTTTGAGGTACTCTACCAATCTTTACATATACATTTAATTGGTTCATAACAAACATAGATCCATATACAATAAACATAAGTAGCACAAGACTATGCAAGCAACAAAAGAACATTCAGACTTGAAATCATATTTGTATGTTTTGGAGTAAACGAATTTACCTGCTAAGCTGCCACCTCATAAATCTACCATATACGATATACAAGAAACACATAATTGTTAGTTTGTATCCGTTTATGCATTGTGTTCTCATGTAACAGGTCACGGTCTGATACCTCATTGGATTGCTTGTCTGTAAATAGATTTTGAGACTATAATTCTTGGTTTTACGATGCGATGTTTCCATTCATCACAAAATAATGTTTGTTTTATACCAAATAGAGTTAATCTTTGAAAGGCACTGCCACCTTTGAAATTTCTACCATTATGGCTTCACTAACTATTTTTTTCTTACCTAATTATTTACATCCTGGTAATTCTCACCTGTTTTAAACTTGTACAACTTGTACCTTATAATTTAAGTATTCCAGCCTTGTTTTGGCTGATTTCTATATAACGCTACTTTTTTCTTATTTCATAATATTATATACGGGCAGTTTGATAAGCTGTACTCCAGAAGCTCAGAATCTGAAAACTACGTAAGAACCGATGTCATTGGATTCAGGTCTGTTTTTTTGTTTGTTGCATGCCTTGTTAGTTCCTATGCATGTAAAATGCATGTGTAATCACTCTTCATTTTTCCTTTGTTTTTTATTGTGTGTAGTATGTGTGTGCGTGTGTGTGTGTGTGTGTAGACATTTATACAAATGCGCATGCGTCAAAGAAAGGTTTTCCGACATTTTGTTTTACCTCGCGATGCGAAGTTCGATGTGAATTTTCTGCAGAGTTCAGTCAGGGCTCACGCTAACCGATCGGCAAGTCGGCATGGATGAAACTATTTTGGTTTTACGACAAAAAAAAAAAAAAAAAAAACAACTGCTGTGACATAGGTATTTTGAAAAAATATAACGGCTACCTTGATTTATGTTATATGCACCTATTTGTTTCTAGCCGTACCTATTGTGTAATAGAGTGTATCTGGTGGTATTTGAATCTGTTCAACCAGGAAGCCTCCGTGGTCTAGTGGTTATGACACTCGCCTTGACAGCGAGAGGTCGCAGGTTCGAGTCCCGGCAGAGGCATTTTATTACACAATTTCTTTATTCATTTATTTACAGGACTACATTCGTTGAGAGCTATGCTACACGATGTACCGTATTTATTCAGTCCTTTATTCGAACACTGTATTTACCTTTGTTTGATGATTTATATATGATTTAACAGTGTTAACGGCTACCTTGATTTATGTTATATGCACCTATATATATATATATATATTTATGTATATATATATATCATTTATATATATTATATATATATTATTTATATATATTACTTATATATATATATATTATTTATATTTATTTATTTATATATATTATGTATATATATATACGTATATATACACAATATATATGCACGTATATATATGTATATACACGTGTATGTTGACTGCTGCCAAGAACGCTTTACTAGCTAAATGCTAAATAAATAATAATATTTATAAATTTATATTTTAGGCCAAATGCAATGTGTAAACAAATGTAAAATTGTTAAATAAAAGTAAACAAATTGATGAAAATTGTTTGTTTTCTTCATTTTGTGTAATACTTTCATGTTGCACAGCGCGTTGTAAGGCGTCACAGCGCGTTGCTACAGGAGGCGATCGCTTCATGAAAAAAATCTCCCTATTTTTTGGTTTTCAAACTTGGGATCTCTGTATACGGGCAGTTTGATAAGCTGTACTCCAGAAGCTCAGAATCTGAAAACTACGTAAGAACCGATGTCATTGGATTCAGGTCTGTTTTTTTGTTTGTTGCATGCCTTTTTAGTTCCTATGCATGTAAAATGCATGTGTAATCACTCTTCATTTTCCTTTGTTTTTTATTGTGTGTAGTGTGTGTGTGCGTGTGTGTGTGTGTAGACATTTATACAAATGTGCATGCGTCAAAGAAAGGTTTTCCGACATTTTGTTTTACCTCGCGATGCGAAGTTCGATGTGGATTTTCTGCAGAGTTCAGTCAGGGCTCACGCTAACCGATCGGCAAGTCGGCATGGATGAAACTATTTTGGTTTTACGACAAAAAAAAAACAAAAAAACAACTGCTGCCGGGTACATAACGACTATCTAACTTTCTACAAAAACCTAAGGGCTAAGCTAGGCCTAGTTCAGTTCAGTACAGACATAGGTATTTTGAAGAAGGCCTAAAATAAAGCAAAAATGTTTTGATACTTGCTGAAATACATAGTTTTTTTCATTTAGATCTCCATTCTTCACTAACTCCATGCTACGTTTTTTTTCTGTTGTATGAGTACAGTGGTCATATGAAGGTACTATATCCCCGACAGTTGGCTATGCAGCAATGTACACTTTGAATGCAAATTGAAGACAAGTGAAGATATAAAGGCAGCCGACTGTCGGGTACATAACGACTATCTAACTTTCTACAAAAACATAAGGGCTAAGCTAGGCCTAGTTCAGTTCAGTACAGTAGTTACTGCAATGCGAGTGTGGTAGATCGTTCAGTCAGTGATATCGTGTTATCGTCTAATACATTTTAATAATGTGTGTAAAATTTAGGAATGCACCGCGTGGGTCGATTTCTTTGTTATGCGGTAGTAGTATACGTAGCAGAGTGACGGCAGCAATCTAAGCCTAGCCTAGGGCCTAGATAGTATACGTTCTTGATCATCGTGATGAAAACTTCGGGTGACAGACGATTGGGCCCAACTGATGTGGATGATTGAACCCAAGATAGCTTCAAATAAGTTTTAGTCCTAGTAGGCCACTGCCACCACCCCCACTCCTGATATCGTTCCAAACTACTAAAATGAAATTACTGTATACCTAGCTAGGCCTAGGCTCTTCTAGATGTGTATAAGAGACAGTCACTATTACAAAGACATATTGTATGGAGAGCATAAGGAGGAGGTTGTGATTCGGACTTTTCAACTTGAGATTGGAGGTTCGAATCCTTGATGTGCATTTCACTTGTCACTGGGTTACTTTACATTAGGCCTATATTACCATATAGATGGTGAAATTGTTTACAGTAGTGAGGGGAATGTTTTGACCTAATTTAAACACAGGAATAAAGGCAATCATTTCATGCCCACACTCAATCACATTTTATGTAATGGTTCTTTTTTGATAGGAAAATTAATAAACGAAATATACAACACGAATTATTGATTATATTATTGCTTATTTTATTTAACTTCGTTATTCCAACGTAAATTTGTTTAACTGTAGGCCTACAGTTTATATCATCGCTTCACCAGATTTTATACCCAATTATACTGCTAAAACTAATCCAGTTTCACTAATACTATAATAGACTCGTTAAGAGAACCCATTCGTTCTAAACCAAAAAACTATCTGCGACCACAAAAATACCCCTCTTATTTTTCAAGAGAAAAAAGAAAAGAAAAATGCCTTGTTTCATACCAGATAGACAATGCCACCTTTCAAATTTCTCTCATTATGGTCCCTTCAGAGTCCATTCACTCTAAATATCATTTCTTCCATTCATTTTTATCTTTCAAATTTCACATTTTATTTGTGTAAATAATGGATTTAGTGTTAACCTAGTTCTCAGGACCAAATGTAAATTGTTAATACTGTTAATAAATTAGGTGGTATAATAGTAAAAATGAGATATTGGTTTTACTAATAATATATTTAATCATTATGCAAACCATCTCCACCACATGGCTGAAAAAATAGACTAACATAATTAGTCCCGGGTTAGAAAAATGATTCCTGATAAAACTTAAGCTGGACAGTTCCATTTTCCCCAATATTTGGCACGGCATGGATAGTGTGCTAACCAAAAATGTATATTCTATCATAATATAAAAATACATAACTGATGGGATGTACTGTATGTTTATATTTTATTAACCATGTGCATCCATTTATTGCCAGCAGTGAAGGAAGTGTAATTGTTGATTACCTGTTGTATTTTCGCGCACCTTCGTCTGCCGCATCAACTACATCTGGTAGCGTAAAGACGATTTTACAAAATGCTGTCAATGAAGCGCAGGAAGGAGAAGGTTCATTATTTGCTGATGTAGATGCCGGTAGCATAGTAATCGAAGAAGGTAAATAAATACAGTACTATCTTTACTTGATGGCAGCTGAATGCTTTAAAAAGTATCTAAAGCATTGTTAACTAATTCCTTTATGGTTTTAACTCCCAGATAATTATATCAGTGTCAACGACCAAAATAGTATATTGTCGATTAACAATGAAAATAGAACAATAAAAATACTCATACATCATGTTGAGTCTGCTGTTCTGAACGATTTGATAGTAGGAGGGAGTGAATAGTAATTTTTTAGAAAAATTAGACTTTCGTAAATTTGGATATATCCGCCAAAGCCTAAAAAATATATATATTTGTTTAAACAGATACGTTGAAGATTGATATTCATTTTTGTGTGATGTTTATGTCCACAACTGGAATCACATAGCCTATGTTAAAAGTGGAGAAATTGTAGAAGGAAACAATACATGTTGGTTCCTGTTGATACAAATCAATGAAATTTGTGTATAAATATGTACTATAGCTAGTTCTAGATGAAATGTGTGAGGAATACAAGTTGTTGAGATTGTGAGTTTCGCATTACCTATTCTAGAACACTTACTAACAAGCAGAGCTACACAAATTAACTAGGATAATTATAAAATAAACTTTTACATACACTGTCACGACTGATAGGCAACAATGGCAACGTGATTATTGGCAAATATTAAATTAAGAGAATTAATGAATTTTATTTTACAGTGTTAGACAGACATGAAAGTACGACTGTGTCTTTGAATACTGTTATGCCATTGACACAAGATGAAGGTACTGTATGATATTCTTATAAGTAAGATTTTGTTTAATATGACTTTTAAACATCGCGATAAGTTTCGATAAAAAAAAAAATGGCCTAACTACAGACATACCCAAATGCACAAAAATACTACGGAAATGTGTTAATGCTCAATTAATGAGAAAAATTGAAAAGTTTAACTTTTTTGGAACGGGTGATTCAATTATAGTGATGTCACACCGCATGAAATAAATACATGCCTAGGCGTAAATGTCCAGACACTTATCTTTTTAGTACCGTTAATGTCATCAGTGTTTAAAATGGTTAGACACCGCAAAACATCCGACTGAGACACGATCAGCGCTTGCGGAAGTATACGTAAACACATGCTCCTAGCGAGACAGCAGGTCTGGTTAAAACGACGGTAAAGCCTGTTTTCCACTAGGCGAATCTGTACGCGCGATACGAAAGCGTCGGTTCATGCGCATACGCATACGGAGTTTTTGCGAAACGAAAAAATGCGCAACCAATCAGAGCTCAGGAAGGGAGCCGACGCTTTGATTCGCGCGAATAAAGTCGCCTAGTGGAAAACCAGCTTAACAATCATTATTTTTCCCTCTGAAATATATGGAATGATCTTCACTTCGTAAGATCGAGACTTCGATGACCTACGTTATTTCATTTTTTTCAGGCCGGTAGGTATAGAATCCAAGACGTTGATTAAAGACCTTGGTTTTACATTATACCCGTGGACTTTAAAATAAGCGTAAATTTAAATATAGGTGATTTATGACTATGTCTAAAAAATTCAGATATTGTAGGCCTAATAAAAATGTATTCACTCCCATGCCAATGATTGTGATGAAACTTGTGTTATATCAAAGTATATACCAAATTCACGGTATGCTCTAAAAGATAGTTTAAAATGTTCAATGACAAATATATAAATTATTATATATTTTCAATATATAACGAGTATGTAACCGGTAGGTTGCAGTCAATAAGCATTAATT